CCAGCTACCCCACTCTCTTCTAATGCACGCTCTCTTGCTTGCTCTGCAGCAGCCACACTAAACAGGTGAGGCTCAAACCTGCTTGGGGTTGCTGCTTATACAAATACCTGCTTGGCTAACTCCCGCTCTTGAGTCTTTGCTTCCCTTCTCAAAGGATTAGGCTAACTTCCCTACTTAAAACTGCAACCTGCCATGGTGCCTGCCACAAGACATGTGCAGACCATGTAATAGTGAGGTACTTTTAATACTGTTGATAAATTGACTTCTTGAGTGAGGTCCCTAATAGATCTGTTTATATTCCATCTTTTGAGACACAGTTCACCTCGCCTGATGTGTGAAATTTGAAATAAATTAAGATTATAAATGTATATAAAAACAGCAACAACAAAATCCCCCTGCAGCATGCCTCACCCTAACACTCCCAAAACCTTCTTCTGCCACCCAGGGTCCCTTTTACCTTCTCACATACTGTATAATGTATATTTACTTATGTTTATTACCTAAGGCCAATCTCCCATGCTGGGATGTAAGCTCCATGAAAACAAGGATCTTTATTATTATTATTACTATTATTTAATTTTATTGATTTCAGAGACGAAGGGAGAGGGAGAGAGAGATAGAAATATCAATGATGAGAGAGAATCATTGATTGGTTGCCTCCTGCACACTCCTTACTGAGGATCAAGCCTGCAACCTGGGAATGTATTCTGGCCAGGAATCAACCAGTGACCTCTTGGTTTCTGGGTTAATGCTCAATCACTGAGCCACACCAGGCCAGGAGATAACAAGGATCTTTATTCATTGATGTATCACAACCACATAGACCTGTGCTGGAAATATGGGTGATCAATAAATATTAGTTAAATACATGGATATATCTTTTTGTTAAGCAAAAAAGGATCCTATATAAACTGTTTTAGAAAAACTTTTGCATAATACTTCTTGAATGTTTTCCCATGCCAACAGAAACATAACCCAAATATATTTTTTTTCTAATTGCATTGTATGCCATTGAATAGCAATTTTATTAATTTAATGTTTAATTTATATTTTAACTAGAGGCCTGGTGCATGACATTTGTGTATGGGGGGGGGGGGTGGCGGTGGTCCCTCAGCCCAGCCTGCTCTCTCTTTGTTGTGGTTGTTTTTAAAAAAAATATATATTTTATTGATTTTTTACAGAGAGGAAGAGAGAGGGATAGAGAGTTAGAAACATCGATGAAAGAGAAACATTGATCACCTGCCTCCTGCAAACTCCCTACTGGGTATGTGTCCACAACCAAGGTACATTCCCTTGACCAGAATAGAACCTGGGACTTGAGTCCACAGGCTGAGGCTCTATCCACTGAGCCAAACCAGTAAGGGCCTGGCCTGCACTCTTTTGCCCTCAGGAAACTTAAAATCTTCATAAATACGCATCACTAGTTAAAATGAGGTGTTTAGCCAATATTTTATTTTCATGGAGATTTTTAGATTTAGATTCTCTAAAATTTGTAATTAAACTCACTTTTGATAAAGTTAATAATGGCTGGTCACTGAAGATTTAGTTAGCATTTAAAAAGGAACTTGAAGATATATTCTGCTGTAAAAGTATCCTAGGGAAGCATTAAAGACTTTCTTACTTGGAGGGGAGGAAATTCCCAATGTCCACAAATAATCAAAGTTAAATTAAAAGAGAGACATGCCAAGTGATAACTGTTCTGTTTTAGGCCAACTGGAGATGGCCATCTGCTTCCAGCAACTGGGGATCATGAATGGTGACCCATGGCTGCCATAAAGAAGCATGTAGACTAACCATAGGAAATTAAACCTATGCAATTTTTGACCAGATTCACATTGGTGATGGTTGTTGTATGATTATGGCTTCTAATTTGATTTTCCATTATGTGGCAGTTACCTCTACTCCTGACAGATCATATATATATATATATATATATATATATATATATATATATATATATATATATATATAAAATTGCCTTTAAGAATCTCTGTTTATCCAAATGAAACAAGTGTGACTGGTTTGCTTAAGGCATTAACAATTATTTTTAGCCTGGCCACAGTGGCTCAGTGGTTGAGCATTGACCTATGAACCAGAAGGTCCTGGTTCAATTCCTGGTCAGGGGCATATGTCCAGGATGTGGGCCCAATCCCCAATAGTGCAGGAGGCAGCTGATCAATGATTCTCTCTCACCATTGATGTTTCTTTCTCTCCCTCTCCCTTAACTCCCTGAAATCAATAAAGATATATTAAAAACATTAATTTTTAAATTATAAAAGTAAAGGGCCATGTTAGAGAATTTTAACATAATTACTATCTTGGTGATTTTTAGTTTCTTCCATATTTTTGGGCCATTCTTTATTATAAATGTCTAGACATGGGATTTCTGGTGGGTGGGAGGGGGTTTACTCAGTAGCTCTGGGTTATCCAAACAGTACACATTCCCTAGAAAGGCTGTTCCATGACTGGCCTTGGCTGGTTCCTGGGAACTAAGTTCTTGGAATATTCTGACTGATAAGAGTGTTTTGCACGCGTTGGGTCATGAGCCATGCTATAATAGCTTTTCCAGGTGGTTTATACTCACCAAGTGGTTTATGTTGAACACCCTCGTGCCCTCTGTGGGGTTGGAGCTTCAGTGACTGAGGTTAGTCATATAGGCATTATGCATATGCCACTGACCCCCAATGTTCTGGACAACCAGGCTTAAGTGAGGTTCCCTTGTTGACAAGACTTTGCACATGTTGTCACACATCATTGCTGAAGGATGCAGGCACATCCTGTGTGACTCCAGGGAGGTGTCTCTTAGAAGCTTGTGCCTGGTTTCCTGCAGACTTTGCTGCATGCACCTTTCCCTTTTGAGATCTTACCATATCCTTTTGCTGTAATAAACTGTGCCTGTGAAAACAACAGCTTCTGCATCCCCTGGGTCCTTTTAGGGAGCCACCAAGCTTGAGGATAGTCTTGGAGACTCCTAACACAGTGGCCCACTTGGCCTTCAGTTGCTGATAAGGAGAACTGGCCTAGCCGGTTTTGGCAAACAGTGCTTATTATAATGTATTCTGTGGTTTCCAAAATTGTTGAAATGGCTGAAAAAGTAGATGGAGATTCCAGGAACCATTTCTAGCCCCAGAATTTCATTCTTGCAGAAGCAGAAACTACCAAGAAGCTGCTTACACTCCGCTTGGACCCGCTTTTAACTCAGTTCTGAATCCAGGCACCTGAATGGAGGAATTTTAATCATACCTGGAACTTCAAAGGGGGTCTGCAAACGTAGTATTTCACTTTTACAGTCTCAAAGACTCAACAAAAAAATTAGAATTTATGCCTAGTCAAGCCACAGTATATCATCCATTGTGTTAGAGAACATAAACATTTTAATGTTCCTTGATACTGCCCAATTGCTTTTTTTTTTTTTTTTTTTTTTTTTTAAGTTTGGAAACTTTTGCATGGCAATGACAAGTGAGGCTCCAGTTTTCTCGTGCTTAGTATCAGGGGAAGGTAATTTAACGGACAAACATAAATATTAAGGGACAGACCAGTTGTCACCTGTGTTCTCTGCCTTTCTCTCACTCTGTTTTTCTTAGAAGAAATGGATGCCTATAGATTGTGGTTAATACTGGGGATTACAAATCAACTTAATAAATCAATTACTCCATGTTGGTGACTAACAAGGCATTCATTTATATAATACAGGCTAAGCAATTTTGGTTATTGTTGAAAACTACTGAATAAAGTAAGTGGAAGGCTAGTTTTACTTTTATTAACTCTCTAAGTTACACTTTCTTCTTAGGTTCTCCATCTCAATCCTCCTCCAGGCTCTGAGTCTTCACAATATCTCCTAAATAACTACTATTGGTTGTCTTAGAAAAGGGATTTGAGCCAGCTGATTTGAGTTCTGAGGTGAGATTTTTGCTCAAGAGCTTTAACTGTAGGAAGATGTAACATTTCAACTGGATGCCAGGAAAAACCCCCACACTATACTACTGAAGTTTATACACACAAAGGATGGCATAAATTTCCTAACTCCTTAAAGGAACATAACTTTACAATTACTGGATCTTGGAACATGAAATAATTTGTTGCACAGCATTAAAAACAAAACAAAACACAGGGTATTTATGATACACTACCATAACAAAATTCTATTCTTTTGTATGTTACATGAATATGTATAAAAATATTCAAAAGGACCAATGATAAATGCTGACAGCAATTATCTTTGGGGGTGTGTGTGTAAGAAAATAAGTGGCTGCTCTTACTTTATTCCTTATATTTCCTGGCTTGTTTTGAAATTTTTAAATAAGCATATATTAATTTAGTAATATGATGGGAAAAATAAACCTTTTAAAAGGTGAGAAAGAAAATAATCAAATTAATATATTGTAAATGTCTCAGGGGGTTGTAATATATTCAAATTACATAACTAATAAGAGTATGTTTTTATAAACTGTGCAGTATTATGAAAAAGCAATGTAGTAAATTTTTCTAAGTCCTGATTTCTCCTCCTTATTTGGAATTAAAAGTCTGATGTCTTTAGGTATGCTTAGTTTCAGAATTTTATTTTAAAGGGATTTTTGTGGCATAATATAATATCTGTGATATTCTTACTGAAATAATTTATGATGGTCAAATTCTAACAATTTTTTCAACAAGATTTTATTACATTTTCCTAAAAGATAGAAGAAGTTTACATACCATTTTGGATTTGTATTTTCAAAATAGTTTATTGCAAATGTTAGTTTCAAAGAAAATTAAAGGGAAATTACAAACCAGTTACAAGTTCTTTACAATAAAATTCACAATAAAAATAATTTTTTTCAAGTTGAAAATTTATCAAAAGGTATACATAGATTATAAATATATTTTGGCAATATGGTGGATTTAAGGCCACTTTAAAAGCTGTCTAATTAATGACTACAGATATGACATGTCTGTTGAAAATCAATCTGTAAGTCTTAATCAATAATCATTTCTTGCTGCTATAATATCGAAGTAATTTATTTAAAAAATCCATGAGTACTATGAAGAGTTTGATGTCCTCACAAAGATTCTTTTATAAGTTCGGCTAATCTCTGGAAGGCCTAAAATAGAAAACAGATAAGAATTAATGAAAGAAGGGTGCTATTTAGGAAAAATTTGTCAGAACATTAAAAATTCAAACAAAGAATATCCATTTAGACGGTGAGATAAGGCAATGAAAACCAAGTTTAACATTAGTTTTATCATGGTCGGATGCCATCAGTGTCATAATATATGTACATATAAGCATATCAGATTCCCAGGATATTTATTTTGTTGTCCTTGTGGCCCTCAAGGTCACCACTTTCGATTTTCTCTGCACCACATATTCATATTCTTTTTCCATGTAATCTCTCACCTGCATATACTGGTACATTATATATAGTTGAAATTGTCCAGATTATATAAAAAAGTATAAGCCCTTGCTGAGTGGCTCAATTAGTTGGAGCATCACGCTGTATATGCGGGTTCGATTCGGTCAGGGCACATGCCTAGGTTGTACATTCGATCCCTGGTTGGGGCGCCTACAGAGGCTGCCAATTGATGTTTTTCTCACATCAATGTTTCTCTTTCTCTCTCTCTTTCTCCCTTCTTCTCTCTTTAAAAATCAATGAAAACATATCCTTGGGTGAAAATGAAACAAAACAAAAAATATAAAACATATGAAAAGCATATTTAATGACACGAGAAAGCAAATAAATAAAGAACACACCAAGAACCAATCCATCTGCAAAGACAGGTACCAACTCATTTTGAGGTTAATGGCACCATTCAATTTATGGGTCTTCTGCTTGGCTTCCCAGACATATAGTTCTGAGGCACTTATTTCTTTGCTTCTTATTATTTTGGTTAAAGCTGGATTTTGTGATTAATCTGAGAGTATTATTCTCTTTGACTTGCTGATATTTTTTCTCCTCAATGAGAGAGACTGGCCTTAATTTGTACTTTGGGCTCGTGTTAATTCTATGAAGGAAGGAAAGAGATTTTTTTCATAATATACTGGTGATCAATGAACACTGTTTAGTAGGTCTGAAAACTCTTCTTGAAAACAAAAAAATTAAACTTCAACTCAGTCTCTTCATTTGTCTATAGAAGTCTAACAACAAAATAAATGTCTTTTTATGGTAGTTCATGACTTTCAACTAATACTTTTTTTTTTCTTTCAGAAACCCAAGACATTAAGCATATTGTAACTCACAAAATGAACACATGCACCAAAAAATAGAATTGATGAGCCCTGGCCAGTGTCAGCCAATGGATAGAGTGTTGGCCCATGCACTGAAGCATCACGGTATCAATTCCTGGTTAAGGTATGTACCTGGATTGCAGGTTTGATTCCTGGCCCCATGGAGGCACATGTGGGAGACAACAAATAGATGTGTCTCTCTCGTATCAATGTTTCCCTTTCTCTCTCCTCCATCCTCTTTCCCTCCCTTTCTTCTAAAAAAAAAAAAATCAGTGGAAATAATATCCTCAAGTGAGGATTAACAACAACAAAATAGAATTGATATCTAGTGTTACACTGAAGAGAATACCATACTTACTATATCCATTTGTTCTGGAGAAGCCAAAGAGAAGGATGCTCTAAAGTAAGGACTAGGAGCTGAGCTGTCAATGTAGAAAGCATTTCCAGGAACCATTAATATCTAAGAGAGTTTATGAAAAATAAGCGACATACCATTAAAGAAAAATTGAAAGAAAATATAGGTAAATAAATTTCAGAATGGGGAAGGACTTTTAAAAGTTAAAGGCAATGAAACAAATCACAAGGAAAATTTATGTAAAAATCCTGTATATTATACAATAAACAAAAATAAATACAGAGAAACTGGAAAAATGTCTACAATAAATATGGCAAATGCAACATCTTCTCCACATATAAAGAATGCACAGAGCCCTGGCTAGTTTGGCTCAGTATTTAAAGCATTGGCCTGTGGACCAAAGGGTCATGGGTTTGATTCCCAGTCAAGGGCACATCGTACCTCAGCTGCAGGCTGGATCCCTGGCCCTGGTCAGGGTGCATGAGGGAGGCAACCAATTAATGTGTCTCTCTCATGTCAATGTTTCTCTCTCTCCCTCACTTCCTTCCTCCCCTCCACTTTGCCTGAAAATCAATGGAAAAAAATATCCTTGGGTGAAGATTAAAAAAAAAAAAAAAGAATGCATAGAAATAGAAGAAAAATACTAGAATTCTAATTTTTATGGGCAAAGGGCTTACAAAAGAAATAGAAACAGAAACAACCATAAATAAATGTTTAACCTAACTAGAAAACTAAGTTCCAATGACAAGATGCCATTTTTAAGTTATCAAATTTGGAAGTGACTTTCAAGCTGGAATCTGAAAGATAGGTAGGTGTTGGCCAAACAAAAAGTAGGGGAAGAATATTTTAGGGAGATTATACAGAGTGTAAAGGCCCTGAGATGGGAAGAAAAGAACTGAAAGATGGTAAAGAAAAATTTAATAGATAAAGCAAAGGAATAACAATGTTGAGTAAGTGTGTCAAGATGCAGTGGCAAGAACCACTGTGGTTCTTGATGACCACTGTGCAGACAGCTTCCTGTGGCAAAGTACATTTCCTCTGCCTCCTGGGCAACATGTGTCTTCTACTGGTATTCCCCAGGCTCTTTCTAATTACATATGGACACATGATTGAATCCTAGTCAATGGGTGTGAAGTTATGTGTACTACTTCTAGGCCTGATCCATAAAATTCTTCCCCTGTGTGATCCACCATGTTCTTTCCATTTTGTAGCCATGTGGACTTTATGTGTTGAAGACTGCAGAGCAAGGAGATAGAAGGAACTAGGGTCTCTGAATTCTGCTTGGAGTACAGTTACTTGAAAATCAGTTACTTGAAAATTTTATGTGAGTCAGAAATAAACATCACTTATGCTAAATCTTTAACATGATATTCGAAAGTATTAGTAACTGCTTGTTGTTACATGATACAAATCTGGGCACTGTCTGTTAAGGTAAGAGGAATAGAGACTGGAATGATTAGTGTCACCCTGGGGAAGAGATTTCAAAGCAGAAGATAGGTTTTTATGTCCTTATTAACAATAAAATGAAAATAAATTTTCCCAATTTAGCTGAAAAGTTTTGGGATGTGCTAGAAGCAAATTGCTGTAAGAGAATGAGGGAGTGGTAAAAGTCTCTCTGCAAGATGACCAAAGTATGAGCTAAGGCAGTGATGATAATGTTGGAGATTATTTAGAAAAGTAAAGGTACAGGCAACAGGATATATGGAATAAATGTAGAGCCTAAAAAAATGCAATAAAATATAAAGTCTATATCCTTAGCATGTTGCTTAGAGATACATACAAATAGCCACTTATCAAATGTTCTTAAAGCTAATGGCATTGATAGAAAACCAAAGAGAATATAAAATTGATTTGTTATACTAAAATGTATTTTTTTTAAAATAAACCAGTTAAATATTTATTAAGTACCTACTGTGTGCTGTTACTAGGATTAGAACAATGCATAAAACATGAGTCTTTCCTTCCAGTAAGACAGTTGGAGAGCATGAGTGAGCTTCCCAAGGGGGTGAGGCTGGCCCAGAAATCCAGCCAGTTGCCAGTCTAACCTTTAGACTGCTTCATCTCTTATGCACTGGCAGGGCACTTTGCCACCATCAACACAATCTGTTCTTTTGTATCATTTATCCTATTGCTTCACGACAAAAATTGATACTAGAAATAGGTTTTAGTGTTTACAAAAGACTGATAAACGTGGTAGGGGAATTAATTAATGGAGAAAGGATAATTTATTTGGTAAACTGGAAAGTTACACAGAAAAATACTTGGATTTCTGAGATTACTCAATGCCCCCGAATGAAATCTAAATATACTTATGATTCAAGTACAAAGGGAGAATTAAAAAACATAGAAGAAATCATCATGGGCTAATTTAAAGTAAAAATAGAGGATAGAAACTTTTCTGTGTAATTTTAACCATGTAAAATAATTGTACTCGTGTAGCCAAAATATCAGCTATATATAGGCTCTTCAAGAAAATACACCACAAATGGTAATAAAATTTGGGTGGTAAAATTGAGCTATTTAAACATTTTTCATTATATTTTTCTAAGTTTGCTACCATGTATATGGTTTACTTTCATAATTGGGGGGGGGTCTCTACTTTAAATATTAATGGCTAATGCCTATTGAACATTTACTAGACTAAGTGCTTTATATATATTTATTAAATTATCATAAATTATCATAACCTTATGAGGGAGAAAGTCTCATTATTACTAAAACTCAGGGAAGGTTAAGTAAAGGGTGGAACTGGGATTCAAACCCAAGGAGTATGGTTCCAGGACTGTGCTCTTAGCCATTAAACCAACCAGTAGCTGAGATCAATGACTATATTTCCATTAATTTAGACCAGAATAATAATTTTGTAACCCCAGAATCTATTATGTTTTTAATAATGAGATAACATATCTGATATTAAAGCATTTTGAGTTAGGGTAGTAGGCAAAGATAAAAATCTCTCTCCATTGTTATTTAAGTAAGAAATTACATTAAAGAAACAGTATAACTATTTCTGCCTTTTTACCTCTTTCTTAATGGCTTTTTCTTCAACCAGTTTTTTTACATCAGAAATGCCCTTAATTTTAAACCATACAAACATCCCAGCAGTAGGAGCATGCCATTCTGCCAAACCTATAAATAGAAGAAGGTAGTAAATATCTGCTGAAGCTATATTTGATATCTCACATCATTTAATGACATAATCACAATGACTATAAACTAGTATTTCCATAAAAGTTCCTTCAGTGATAGCATTTAAAAAAAATATAATTTTATGAGTCCTGAAAATTGATGGTTTGAGTTTTATTTCAAAAAGTGAGTAAGCCCTGGTCGGGTAGCTCAGTTGGTTAGAGCGTTGTCCAGATGCTCTGGGGTTGTAGGTTTGAGCCCCAGTCAGGGCACAATCAATACTCAGCCAGTGAGTGCATAAATAAGAGGAACAACAAAGTGATGTCTCTTGCTCTCTCTTAAAAAAAAAAAAAAAAAAAAAGTGAGTGAGAAAGGGGATGAAGGCAGGGAGGGAGACTCGTGTGTGCCTATTTTCGGCTTTAGTCAGACTTAGGGTGGCACAAGAAGTCTAGTGTCATGTCTACTTCCTTTAGTTAGAACCATATCTGAGCCAAATATGACTCTTTCAATTTTAGAAGAGGATTCTTCAACTCTTTCTAGTTTCTTCCAGTGTTTCAATAAATGTTATTATTTATGTAATAATTTAGAAGTTCCATGGATTAAAGTTTTTATTGGAATGTAATTAATTATGAAAAGAAGTACTTAAAGTTAGGAATTCCAGTTGCATTTGTAGGCTTTATGCTTTGTTGAGTATTAGGATAGAGAAACCAAGAAGGAAGGATAATTATCTTGGACTTTAATTAACGTATTTTTGTTGCTGTTAATTAAAACCCTTTCTTCAGCTCTACTGTACAAAATGGTAGAATAATGCTCTTTATAAAAAATAATTATATTTTCATCAATACTTCATAGGAAACAAGGTATAACAATATTGAGGAATTGATATATTTTGCTTACTATTATTCATATTTTTCACGATATAATTAAAGCCATGTAATTCATTTTACTTACTTATTTTTAATAGAAAATGAAACCCTCCTTGTAATCAAATTAGCAATAGAGAGTATTAGACAGATAAATGAGGTTAGTAATGAGAAATTAAAAAGCAAATCATTTGTAATGAGAAATCCTCTGTAGACTGTATTAGTATTTTATCTTTAGATAATCTAGTTAGAAAAAGAGTATGTTGTTTGTTTCACAATTCCTCTTGTACTTAGAGGAAAATTTTGAAATAACTCTAAAAATTTTTGAGTATAGATGTCATTTAGCTTGAACTAACTTATTGCTGGTTGATTATTAGACTAATTAATGTTTTTTTTAAAGGACAAATTCCTTGCAGCAGATAGGTAGAAATGGGTCAGGGTTTGCAGAATGTTCCTTCTGAGATTATTTGTAGAGTAATATTTTCTTGACAAGAATACTCCTGGACTCTTGTTTCTTTCCCCGGGATTATTAACAATACTATGCAGTGTTTATTACCCACTTCTATAGGTACTGCTGTTTATCGAAGGATGGGGGGATATATTCTACTCACCACTTAACCACTTGTCTGCAGCTTTCAGTAATGCATCCTTTTGCTTCCTATAGTAATCAATAACCCTAGATGAAGAAAACAGTAAAAACGATGTGTTTCATCTTTTCAGAAACTAGGAGGTTCTAGAAGAATCCATTTTCTACCTTGATGAAAATGAATGCCATATAAGGAAATTGAGCATATTTACTTGACTTGTCTGGTTGGAAACTTTTTACCACTGTGTTTTTCTTTCATTGTGGAATAATTAAAAATTATAAGGCAGAGTCCATTTCTAGGTGAAAAATGGGACCTGAATACCATACCTCTCTATGTGAGCCAGGAAGCCCTCCTCTCCCCACTGGTGAAGAAGCTGTGATACCATGAGCTGAAAGAGGTAAGACAATAACAGATATGCTTCATCCTCTGCAATGTGTTTTCTGCCAGACACTCTTGAGTATAGGTAGGTAAACCACCATAAGAAAATAGAACAAGCTGGCCCAAGCTTTAGTCAGTCAGTGATTTAGAATAAATGTTAATAACAAAGACAATGATAATAAAACGACAAATATTTATATAGAGCTTGCTGTGCCAGAAACTATTGTAATGCATTAGAATATTTTAGCGAACTTAATCTTATATTAACCTCATTAGGCAGGTTATTATTTTTACTTTGCTGATGGGAAAATGAGGCACAAGGGTTGTTAACTTTCCTGAGGTCACACAGCTCGTCACAGAGCCTGGATTCGAGTCAGAGGCCCAGCTCCAGATCCATGCCATTAATTACCACACTGCACTTCCTCTCTAAATATAAAAAACACATAGTAGTTGTAATATATACAATTACATAATATATTTGGAGATTTTCTATCTAAGATGGAAATTCTAAATGTCATGAATGGATAATGAAGTTTTGTTAGTAACAAAACAAAACAAAACAACAACAACAAAAACAACAACAAAAACAAAAAAAAACCAAAAAAAAAAAGAAAAGAGAGAGAAAAGTCCCCAAACATGATAAAGTACTTTATGAAATGTAAAATAACAAACAAACATCCTATTCTACATAAATTCTTCTATGCAATTAGGCAGCAATTCTATCCTTAACATCTACTTCTATGGTTGCCTTAGGAATGGAGCCAATAATTTCTCAAAGCTTGTGAGGAAATTTACACATTCTCTAAAATTAACTTTTTAAAAATTAAAGTACATACCAACAAGTGTCTTTAGGACAGGTTAGCACATGCGCAGTGAAGGCAATGATTCATTAGACAAGTTTGCAATTCTTGTTCTCATTATAAATTTTAATACAAAGAAACCCAAATTATATTACTGCATCAAGCCCAGTTCCATTATGTGAAGTTCAACAGATTTTATGGAGTTCCTGGGCTGGATGTGAGGGATAGCAGAGGAATAAGACCAACTCGCATGGAGTTTAGTCTTTGCCACAAAATAACACCAGATTAATTTGATTCTCATCTATAATAATAAAAGCGTAATATGCTAATTAGACTGGATGTCCTTCCAGACATCCTTCTGTCCTGCACAAAACTGGGGCTGTGAGGGAAGCCTGGGTCCCGGGTACCTGCCAGAGGTCGGAGGTAAACCCAGGTCCCAGGTGCCAGAGGGAAGCTGGTGCCAGGGGAAGGAAGGCCTATTCTTGCACAAATTTTGTATATCAGGCCTCTAGTTCGTCTATAAGAGTAAATGCCTACAGTGCCAGGTTTGCTGACTCAGTACATAATGGAACTAGAGATTCAATATGGGATTTCCCTCTCTGGCACCTTAACTCAATTTTATTTGTCAAGATCTATTTTCTATTCTTATCTAATTATTTTTTTTTTTCCTATTTCATAAATTGTTCTTACCTGTGTAAAAGTACTGGTGTGCAATGTTGAGACTTGTGTGTGTAAAACAATTCTCTCTATCAAGGGTTTTGGTCCAGTTATAAACCCTATTCTCAACCTGACCAAAAAAGAAAAAGAAAGAAAAGGTATAAAACCACTGTATTAACAATGAATCCATGTCGTTTTCCTGATTTCATTAGGAAGAGAGCTATGGCCTGGGGGCAAATGAACCTAGACAATGAAAACATCCTGATAAAATTAACTACTTTTTATTTAAAATTCAAGTGTACATTTAAAACATAACGCAAGTCTGACTAAGCATTTCTAAATGTGCTCTTTCATATATGAAGCCCCAAACCCCTGACCAGTTCCTCTACAACTTCTGATGAATGCCCAGGCTCCTTTGATGACTGGAGATGGACAGAGAGAGAGAAAGATAAGTCCTATATTCATATTAATAATTTAGCTGGTGTTTTAAGGCAAGTAGAATACAAGCATATTAAATGAGATTTGCTTGTCCAGAAAGCTACTGAGGCACAGTTTCTATCTCGGTTAGATCCAGCCTGATGTTAGAGACACAAAGGACAGCCTTACCCAGAGGACAGAACTTTGGAGAAAGAGTCCGCTCTGATGACGCGCCCATCAACGTCCATGGAAAGAAACGTTGGTGCCCAGGGCTTGACATGGAAAAGATAAACACTGTTGGTCTGAGAACTCTGTTAGTGACTATGTAATTCCTTCATGTAGAGACTGGAAAGGACATGGTTTCAAATAACAGTAGCACAACCAGCTTTTCCATTACCTTTATCTAAACCCTTTAAAATGGAATAAAAACAGAGATGCGTGCTCTTTTATTAGTATCTGCCTGTCTTCATGACTTTTCTGCCAAAAATGCACACACAAGGTTTTACTCATTTGCTCAAGATCCATTATTATGAATTTGCCCCAATGGTTGAAGTCCAAGATGAAAAGATTTAGAGGAAGAAAATGAGCCTTGCTGAGAACCAAGGTTCTGAAATCCCATAAGGTCCCCATGATGCCTGGCTGGCCTGATTGTTGGAATAAAATGCATCTGAATTAAAAAAAGAAAAAGAAAAACTAGTTTGGATAAGATATAAACAGAGGGGACCAGCAGCATTCAGGATTGTTTAAAAAAAGAATGCTGCCTCTTAGAATTAGAAAGATAAAAAGATGAGACCAAAGCTGAGAAATGTAGTCAATATGAAATAATGAAGTAGATGCTTAAGAAAATCATGTTGAGAGTGGGATGGAGGTTGGCAGACATGATATTCATTCATGTAATAATCTTTTCTGTAGATTTAAAGAAGGAACCAAGTCTCTGCAGCCCTGAGAGCAACTAAAGATAGTGTTTGATTTTGAAAAATCAGGCATTGGAATCACGTGTCACTACTATGTCCATGAGGAAAGAATGATTATGGATGTGTAGATGGATTATAGTATTCCATCTATACAATGTAATACTATGCTGATGTAAAAAAGGAAGGACCTCCTACCATTTGCAACAACATGGATGGACCTGGAGAGCATTATGCTGGGTGAAATAAGCCAGTCAAAGGAAAATAAGTAGCACATGATCTCATTCATTTATGGAATATAATGAACAACATAAACTGATGAACAAAAACGGATCCAGAGACAGAGAAGCATCGATCAGACTGTCAAACCCCAGAGGGAAGGTAGGGGAGGGTGGGGGTAAGGGGCAGAAATCAATCAAAGGACTTGTATGCATGCATATAAGCCTAACCATTGGACACAGTTACCAGGGGGTGAAGGCATGAGTGAGGGGGGGGGGGGGGATAAGGACACATATGTAATGCCTTAATCAATAAAGAAAATAAAAAGAGACTAGTAGTTGAGGCCTAGCTGGTGTCTTCAGTGGTTAGAGCATTGGTCCTAACTGAAGGGTCATGGGTTTGATTCCTAGTCAAGGGCACATACTTGGGTTGCAGGCTCGATCCCTGGCCTTTGGGGGTGCACATGTGGAAAGCAATTACTCAATGCATCTCTCTCATGTTGATGTTCCTCTCTCTCTTCTCCTTCCTCCCTGCCACTCCCTGAAAGAATCAATGAATAAAATATCCTTGGATGATGATTGGGTGTAGTTGACACCCAAGAGGAAACCCACTTTAGATCCCTGGTACGGGAGAGGGAGAGGGAGAGGTAGAGGGAGAGAGAGGGAGAGGGAGAGGGAGAGGGAGAGGGAGAGGGAGAGGGAGAGAGAGAGGGAGAGGGAGAGGGAGAGAGGGAGAGAGGGAGAGAGGGGGAGGGGGACGGGGAGGGGGGAGAGGGAGAGAGGGAGAGAGGGAGGGAGGGAGAAGGAGAGAGAGAGAATGACTGTAGTTGACACCCAAGAGGAAACCCACTTTAGATCCTTGGTACGGTGATTAAGGAGCTATGCACTAGGATCTGGAGTTCAAGACCATTAGCCCTAACTTTCTCTCTCGAAATGTAAGGTAGAGAGAGCCAGATACTATTTTTAAGGTAAGTAATTTCTGGAAAGAGCTGTAATACAAGAAATGAAAAATACTAATTCCATAGTAAAACTAAAAGACTATAAAAGTTGAAGTGGTAGTAAATTAACAATAATTTTTAAAATTCCAATGTCAGCGTGGACTAGCAGCCAGGTTAAATTCAAAGGCAGGGCAATAACTTACAACAATTTATCTTTTAATTGTGAAACAACTTCACATTGTTACTTACCTTGTTGAACTGGAGAAAATAGTAAGGATCATCTTCTATTATGAGAAAATCATATTTTCTTGCAAGCTAAAAAAAGGTTAAAATAATATAATTATTTCTTAACAGCTATCTAAAATTAAAAGTATTTTGGAATCACAATTCTTTATACTCATTCATTCAACAAGCTATTGAGTGCCTATTGCCTAGACCAGTGGTCAGCAAACTCATTAGTCAACAGAGCCAACGATCAACCACACAATGACTGAAATTTCTTTTGAGAGCCAAATTTTTTAAAACTTTAACTTCTTCTAACACCATTTCTTCAAAATAGACTCCCCCAGGCTGTGATATTTTGTGAAATTATATTCAAGGGGCCAAAGAGCCGCATGAGGTTTCAGAGCCGCAGTTTGTAGACCATGGGCCTAGACAATGAAGATAAAGAGATAAGGCTCCAAAAGCTCTTGTTCTTATGGAATTTATATTCTAGTGGGAAAGACAGAATATACATAAGCCACTGGATCATGAACAGAAGAAATATTGGATGGGGGACTTAAAGGCTAGATGGAACATTAAACAGGATGGAGAGAGAGAGGGAGAGAGGGAGAGAGGGAGAGAGGGAGAGAGGGAGAGAGGAGAGAGGAGAGAGAGAGAGGAGAGAGAGAGGAGAGAGAGAGGAGAGAGAGAGAGAGGAGAGAGAGGAGAGAGGAGAGAGGAGAGAGGAGAGAGGAGAGAGGAGAGAGGAGAGAGGAGAGAGGAGAGAGGAGAGAGGAGAGAGGAGAGAGGAGAGAGGGAGAGAGGAGAGAGGAGAGAGGAGAGAGGAGAGAGGAGAGAGGAGAGAGGAGAGAGGAGAGAGGAGAGAGAGAGAGAGAGAGAGAGAGAGAGAGAGAGAGAGAGAGAGAGAGAGAGAAGCTATTTCAGGTTGAATCATGGGGAAGCCTTTCCTGACAAGATAACACAAGATCTCAGAATGGCAGGAGGGAGCCAGTTGTGCAATTATCAGGAAATAAGCTTATAGAATGAGGGATGAGCAAGAGTAGAGACCCTTGGATGAGACAAAATTTGGCATATTAGAGAGAAGGCCAGTGGGCTGCAACAATGATGGTGAGAGCCTGAGAATAGCTGATCATCTCCCCTAGCTTTTGGAGTTTATTTTATATGCAAGGGGAAGCCACTGGAGGCCTGTAAATAGGAGGACCATGACACTGGCTTTTCGTTTACATTTCAGCAGGGGAAGGACATAAGTGGCTGCTGAGTGAAGAATGGTTAGAGGTCAAGAGTGGAGGGCAGTGGGGGTGAGGAAATGTCCCAGGAGACCAGCAAGGGAAGAGGTTGGTGTCTGAGAAGATGGGGAGAGCAGTGGTAGTGGAGGGAAATGGATAGATTTGGATAAATAATGTCCTCAGTAGAGTCCACAGAATGGATTTGATATAGTGGATGTGGGGAGGAGAAGGGGAAAAAGAGGAATAAAAGACAATGGGTCATGCTGGCACAGTGTAAGGAGATGAAGAATGGGAGGGGTTGTGAATGAGAGGTTTGGGGTGTGGCTGGCCAAAATCAAGAGCTCCCTGTGGCTATGTTAGGTTAGAAATGCCATTAGACATTTACATGGGATGCTGGATACAGAAGCTGGATAGAGAGGTCTGGAGTTCAGGCATCTCCATCACAGACACAGAACTGGATGAGTGTTGGAGCCAGGAGTGCATGAAAAATAAAAATGCAGTAAAAGGAATTGTTTGAAATTCTTCTCATGATTCCACTATATTGATTAAATTCTATATTACTTTAACATAGACTTGGTACTTACTTTGAAAAATGATTTGTAGTAAAAGGCTAGGGATCATAGTCAAGTACATAAAAAAGACTTTACAGAAAGGCATGTTTCTCTTATTTTTCAAAGATTCCTGCACGGCTGCATATTTGCTTGGTACTTCATAAAAAAACTGTTTATGGTGCAAAGCAACCTAGGCATTGTTGTCAGGTCCCTAAAATAGACTTTATAAAAGGCACATGCCTCTTATTTTCAAGGAATTTCTTTGTAAACTGAAATGACAATGAGCAATAAAGAAAAGAGACAAGTTGGAAATACAAATGTAAAATAATGAAAATTAAATAGTGGGGTGAAATATTAAATAACCTCATAGAATTTAACATCAGACCAAGAATGCTATTTCTTTTTATGAAAATATCAAAGGGAAAGAAAAATCTTAGAGTTAACAGAGGATGTAGTAAATTCTTGTGTTGAAATTTATTAGGATTGTTGGCATAGATGACTTCCTCTTATTAAAAATGATCTCCCTTGAAAGCAAGATGCTAATAAGAAAGGAAACGTGCATAGTACTCTTCTAAAGGGTAAAAAAGAAATAGGAACATAGCCACATACACATTTTTTTAAAAATACCTCATAGATTTCATTTTTGCGGTTACTTGTTAATGAGTTTCCAGTAGGGTTGTCGCCATTTGGGACAGTATAAAGAAATTTGGGGGTGTTTTTCTCGGGGTTCTTTGAATCTTCTGGTTTCCATTTGGAAAGTATTTCTTTGAGGGAGTCTGGAATAATCCCATATTCATCACTGGGAACATTAATCATGTTGCAGCCCATTGGTCGCAGCTGTTGAACACATAGAAAAAAGAAAAGAAAAAAAGCCCAAGATTCAGATCTGATTACAAAATGTGTCATTGATTCTTCTCATAACTAAGAATGTTACCCTTTATGCCCTTGAACATATAACCTGCAGTCGGCTCTACCGCCAGAGGGTTCAAGTTGTATGTGCTAATTCCACTGGCCCTGGGCCAGATTCCATTATTGTTCAAGAATATCCCCTGTCAATTTCCAGAGTAAGGATCCTACTTCCTTGCTCCTGTATGTCAGGCTTGGCCATGTGTCTTGCTCTGGCCAATAAATTGTGGGCAGAATGGTGTGTGTTCCTTCCAAGCAGAAGCTTCAAAATCCAGCTTGTGGTTCTCTATTTCTCTTTTCCCTCTGCTGTAAGACTCACAATGTTCCAGAAGGAGATTACTTCTGGCAACCTGGGGCTTGAGAAAAAGATGACATGGACCACAGCTACAGTTGCCTTGCAGTGGACATGCAGTGGGGGAGAGAAGTCTTTGTAGCTGTAAGTCACTGAGACATTGGGATCATTTGTTCCATAGCGCAACCTAGCCTCTTCTGGCTGAATTATCATGATACATATAATTAGGTCTTAGCTTTCAAATGCACACATACCATGAATAACACAGATCACTATTGGTCCATGCAATAAACACATATTGCTTATTAGCATATATCCTCATAGCTTGGCACATGGTTTATGTCTGGGTATATGAAAATATTTTACATGTGTGTGCCCATGCTGTTTATGTAGACATAAGTTTTATATTTGAAAGCATTATGTAATCTTAAGTGTTAGGGGTTTAGGGAAATAGTTAATAATTACTGTCAAATCATTAAGAAAAAACAATTATTTTACTTTGTTTTTTTAAATGTGGTAAAATTTATATAACAAAAATTTGACTGTTTTAAATTGTATAACTCAGTGGCATTAATTACATTCACAATGTGTGCACCCACCATCACTACCAATTTCTAAAACTTTTTTCATCACCTTGAATAGAAACTCTGTTCCCATTCAGCACTAACTCCCTATTCTTCCATTCCCCAGGCCAGGTTACTTCTGATCTACTTCTGTCTCTATGAATTTATCTATTCTAGATATTTTACACAATATTTGTTCTCTGTGTCTGGCTTTTTTCAGTTGGCATAATGTTTTCAAGGTTTATCCATGTTGCAGCATGTGCCAGAACTTTGTTCCTTTTTAGCTGAATAATATTCCATTGTATATACATACTACAATATGTTTTGTTTATTTATACACACATTGATGCACACTTGGGTTGCTCCCATCTTTTGGCTACTGTGCATAATGTTGTAGCAAATGTTTGTGTTTCTGTTTGAGTCCCAGTTTTCAATTTTTTTTGGATATATACTAGAAGTGGAATTGGTAAATCACATGATGGTTCTATGTTTAAAATTTTGAGGAAATGAAAAATTGTTTTACACAGTGGCCGCACCATTTTACATTTTCACTAACAATGTACCAGGATTTCAATTCCTCCACATATTTACTAATACTTACTATGTTCCATTCAAAAAGAAAAGCCATCCTGGTATGAAATAGTATCTACTTGTGGTTTTGATTTTCATATCTCTAATGACTAATGACGTTGAGTATTTTTTCATGTGCTTCCTGGCCATTGGTATATCTTCTTTGGAGAACTGCCTATTCAAGTCCTTTGTCTATTTTAAAATTTGTCTTTTGTTGTTGAGTTATAGGAAGTCTTTATATATTCTACATATTAAGTCTTTATCAGATATATAATTTGCAAATATTTTCTCCCATTCTTTAGGCTGTCTTTCTACTTTATTCATGAATGTCCTTTGATGCTTCAGAGTCTTAATTTTTTTATGAAGCCCAGTTATCTATTTTTATTGTTGCTTGTGTTTTTATTGTCATATCTACGAGTTTAGTGCCAATTCAAGGTTAAGATTTGCCCTTATGTTTCCTTCTAAAAGTTCATAGTTTTTATCTCTTACATTTAAGTCTTTTATCCATTTTGAGTTAAAATTTTATATGGTGTGAGGTAAGGGTCCAATTTCTTTCTTTTGCATGTGGAAATCCAGTTGTTCCATTATAACTTGTTGGAGACTTTTTTTCCTATTTAATTACATTTGTCAAAATCAATTGGCCACAGATGTATGGATTTATTTCTGGGTTCTCAATTCTATTCCATTGAAATATATATCTATCCAGCCAGTACCGTACTGTTTTGATTACTGTAGCTTTGCAGTCAGTTTTGAAATGGGGAAGTGTGAAGCCTCCAACGATGTTCTTCTTTTTCAGGATTCTTATGGCCTCTTTCAATCCTATGTGAATTTGAGGATTGGCTTTTCTATATCTACAAAAATGCTATTAGCATTTTGATAGGGATTGCATTGAATCTGTAGATCACTTTGGCGGTATTGGCTTCTTAATAATATTGTCTTCCAATCCATAAATAGGTGATGTGCTTTATTCTTTTGGATGTTATTATAAATTTAAAATGTTTTAAAATTTTCTTTTCAGATTGTTCTCTGGGAAAATAAATTTTTATAAAATCAATTATTATTATTATTTGTTAATCCTAACCTGAGAATATTTTTCCAAAGATTTTTTTAGAGGGAGGGAAAAGGAAGGGAAGAGACAGAGAGAAATATTGATGTGAGAGCGACTCATAAATTGGTTTGCCTCCCACATGCACCCTGGCTGGGGATTGAGCCTACAACTGAGATACGTGCTCTTGACTAGGATCTAACCCATGACCCTTCAGTTCACAGGCTGATGCTCTACTCACCAAGCCAAATCAGCTAGGGCTACAATATCAGTTTGATTTCTACTTAGGAATGTTGAAAAAATATGCCTTTTCATTAAGACTAATTGCTTTATATATTTATTTTTGTAAAGATAATATTAAATTTGAATAAAAGAGAAAATCAATGAAATATGAATCAATAGAGCATAAAGGTCCTCTCATTCAACTCCCCTATTTTAGAATTACTTTTGCAACATTTGTGTTCGGTGGCAATCAAGAGTAAGTGAGCACCTGCTGTGATGGGAAGTTAGGTAAGGCTCAGGGAGTCAGGTAAGGCTGATGGTTAGACAGTTGCTACACTGAGTTGAAATTGTTTCCCTGTAGTTTCCAGCCTTTGATTCAGTCCTCCCAACTTAAGGACATGCACAAGCAAATATAATTCTTCTGTCACATGGCTAACTTTTATATATTCGAGGCTAATTCTCATGTTTGTTGAGTCTTCTGTTTTTGGGAAATTGGTTCCTAAGACCAATCATCATACAGTATAGTTTCTAGTTCCCTATTCACTCAGACTGCTCTAGTTTGTATAAATATCCTAAAGTATTGTGCCCCAAATGAACCTAATTTTAAGCAGTGTGTTCTGACCATTACACAGCAGAGCCAGATGGTTAGTTCCTCTTTCTGGTTATTATAATCCCATTAATTTGTCACTGGAGTGGAAAATCTTAATTATACCATATTAAATTACAGTTATAGTAAACTGACATATAACATGATTATACTTAGGCATTTGGCAATTCAAGATGGTAATGAAAAAATAAATAATTGTAAATTAAATCACATTTCAAGTGAAATATTATGAAAACTGGACATAATTTTGTACAACCTAATTTAAGCATGTATTCATTTAAATTTGGTAAGAAGAAATGTACAAAGTGGAGGGTATATTTAAATAGTTAATATAGTTTGCGTATGTCATTTATGATTCTCCTATTTGCAGGTGAAAGACGTTATTTCTCAGTGGAAAGGTCATTCTAATGGTGCAATGGGTTTTTTCTTACTTATTATAAAAAAGAGAGCTGCCTTTTGTAGAAATGTATACTCACAGCTTGAAGTGTTCCTGAATAAACAGGTTCATTTAGGAGGATATTATCTCCACGATTAATGATCATTTCAAACACCTAACAAAAGAAAAATAGGTTGGCTTGCATAGTATTGTTTCCATTCTTAGAACCCCTTTCCTCCATCCACCCCCCATTTTAGTTTTAATTCATTAGGATTATAGAGTAGGAGTTGGCAAATAATCTGTAAAGTGTCAAGAGAGTACATATTTTGTGGGCCATAGTGTTCCTGTGGTAACTACTTTTTTCTGTCTCCATAGTGAGCAAGAGCCACAGACAATATGTAAACCAGTGAGTGTGGCTAAGTTCCAATAAAACTCTATTTACAAAATCAGATGAAGGCTGGATTTGCCTCTCAAGCCATCGTAGCCAACCTCTGTTCTAGGTTTAAATGAAAGATAACAACTGGTTTGTCTCCCAAAATTCATTTTATCCTTTTAGTTTTTCTTTGAAAATGTATTAATATTTATCATAAGCCAGTCCTGTATAAGGTCTGATGACAGAATGATGAATATAATGACATAGTTTTTACCATCATAAAGGTACTAGTCCAGGAAAGCTAGACACTAATTAAATAATGACTCAAAAATGTATATTTAAAAGTGATGAATGCTATTAAGTACAGGTGTGCGATGTTATAAGTGCTCACTGTAGGAGGACTTGGGCATTGAGGAAACTCAGGGCGTTCAGAGAGGGTTTCCCTGAAGAAGGGATGAGTTGGGGTAGGGGTGACAGTAGGTACATTTTGAGAAACTGAAGCAGAGTGTAAAGAGGAGAGTGGAATGAGATGAGGCAAAAGTGGGCAGAAACCATACCATGCAGGCACTACGCCAAGTGAGGCCAGTAAGAATTTTAAGTAGAGTGTGGAAAGGGGAAATCACAGGGTCAGGTCTGCTTTTTGAGATCATTCTGGCTATAATAACAAGATTAAATAGAAATGGAATACATGTAGAGAGTCTGGGAAGGTTTTATGATTATTTGGGACAGATAAGGGTAGTCTGAACTAGGGTAATGCCAGTAGGTTTGGAGAGGAGACCTGGGAGGTATTTTGGAAGTCAAAACCAACAGAACATAATTATGGACTACAGGGACACAAGGAGGAGGAGGTGTCCAGAATGACTCCTAGATCTTTGGCAATGGAACTAGATAGATGGTGGGAGTGGTGCCATTCACTGAAAAGCAGACCCAAAGAGTTGTCCATGTCTGAGGAGTGTGTTTTGGTTTGAGGTGTCTTCAAAACATTTTGTGATGTCAGGTGGACAGATACACAAATGGACTTGAAAGGAGCTTGGAAGTTATTAGCATATGATTGATCACATGGGTGTGAATGGAAGTACCAAGAGATGGTGAACAGATGAAGGGGAGCAGAGGTCCCAGGCCCGAGCCTTGAGGAACTCCGATAAATAATGGCTGTGTAGAGGCCACTGCCCAGAAGGCAGGCAGGTGGGCCAGCAGAGAGCTGTTCCATGCAGTGCTGAGAGCTCTAGAGGAGGAAAGCGGCTCAAAAGAATGGGGAGGTCAACAGTGTTCAAGGATGTTTAGAGGTCAAGAAAGACAAGGGTTGAGAAATCTTGGGAGATTTTGCAGTCAGTATGATGCATACTGATATCAATAGAGTCAGACAATAGATCTTTCCAGCCTAATCAAAGGGGTCTATTATGACTAAATCTTATATAAACCACAGAATAATCCTTTCTTGCCTTATATTGTTCACAATCCCCAGTTCAAGCCCCTCCTTTCTATTATGTTAACAACCTACATCTCTTTTTAAAGAAATAAATATAACTTTTTAAATTGATTTCAGAGAGGAAGGGAGAGGGAGAGAGAGAAACATCAAGGATAAGAGAGAATCATTTGATCTGTTGCCTCCTGCATGCCCCACACTGGGGATTGAGCCTACAACCCAAGCATGTGCCTTGACTGGGAATTGAACTGTGACCTCCGGTTCATAGGTCAATGCTGGACCACTGAGCCATGCTGGCCAGGTGATAAACACTGCCTTTATAATTATTCAAATTGTGTGCTTACATTTTTTTGGGGGGACACCCTATAGACCTAGAGAAGCACAGCCAGGAGGAAGACAAGATACAAGCATTGTGAGCACAGATAATTTATGTAAGTGGACATTTAAAGACATCAAATTTCACCTGAGGAGTATCAGGATATACCCTCTAAAGAACTTAAAAATTATATTGAAATCTCATAACAAAAGTAACAGAGAACAAAATGTGACCCAAAATCTTTGAGCCAGGTAAAATGAAGCGATGATCACTAATGCTTTTGGGAGGAGTTGAGACCTCCTTTAATGGGAACCTGTTGGAATGATTCCTAGCTCTGAGTCACTGACCACATCTTCTACATGTAAGAAAAATCAGGTTGGTGGATGTCTTTAAGTTCCCTGTTTATAATTCTAAGTAAAGACAAGAAGACTACTGGAAATTCACAAAACATGATCCTCTTGCTTGTCAGTGAGAGATGACTGTATTCATGGCAATACTTGATTTTTAATGTGTGGTACCTTTCCTTTCAGACTTACCTTACAAAGACCGTCTTGGCTGCCAGATGTGACACATATATCCATTTGTCCTTGACTGGATGGATAATGGACGGTGGGAGGATTATGCAATTTTACTTGTAACTTTTTTAGCCAGGACAACAGCTCTGGTATTCTAAAGCATAAAATGTATTTTAAAATTTATAATAGTAAATGTCATAATATAGGTAGAGAGGAATTAAATGGTAGCTATATATTAAGTACTTTATACATTCAATTTCAAAATCCTCAAACACTTTTTGCCAATATTAATATTCCCTATTTCAAAGATAAGGTAACAGATGTAGAGATTTAAAAGTTCACAAAGTCAGTCGGCTGATATTTGAATCTACATCTTTCTTAGTCTAAAAACCTATAATCTTTATTTTACAATAGAGCAAACACTTAATAATTGATTCTTTGTTCTACTCAGGACAATTTCCATAAGCTACTTAGAAGGAAAGTTTTTTTTGTATCATGGGAGGAAAGACCTATGTATATATTACATATCTATCCTATATAATAAAAGGCCAATATGCAAATCGACCAAAATGAGGAATGACCAGACACATACTGACCACCAGGGGGCAGATGCTCAATGCAGGAGCTGCCCCCTAGTGGTCAGTGCGCTCCCACAGGGGGAGCATCGCTCAGTCAGAAGCCCTGAACCAGGCTCACAGCTGGCGATAGCGGAAGCCTCTCTGGCCTCTGCAGTAGCACAAAAGACGTCTGACTGACAGCTTATGACATGCCCTGAAGGCTCCTCGACTACATGAGGGCGCAGGACAGGCTAAGGGACCCCTCCATCCCAATGCACAAATTTCATGCACCAGGCCTCTAATCTATCTATATAAAAGCCTTAGACCAAATAACCAGTCGTTATGATGTGCACTGACCAGTAGGGGACAGACAACACAAAGGACAGGGCTCCCTCCTGTTTGGAATGGGATTGGGCCTACAGAGATCAGGTTCTCTCCTGAGTGGATCGGCCTGCAGGGATCCGGCCAGGCCGAGGGACCCCTAGTAATTTATATATATAGGGTGTCCCCAAAAATACATACACACACTTTGAAAAATTATGAAGGCAGTGTTCATTAAAACATATTTCATTTTCAAAATTGAGCTATCAGATTGTTAACGTGTGTATACATCTTGGGGGATATTCTATAAAATCTATATTACATCATAATATAGTTTTCCATCACAGGAACTCTATAAATTATCATTAGAGGATCAGCTAAGGAAAATCTTAAGGTATGTGTGCTAATTTGCCTTTAAGAATTAAAGACATGTGAAGTGAGGGCAATGTGTTTGCATAGCTGGGAAGGGAACAAACTTCTTAGAAAATTGTCCAGCACTTAAAATTGCTGCTTCCTGCTTCCTGGACTATCCTTTTCCTCCCTTCTTCCTCTCTCTCTCTCTTCAGTGTCAGGTTAATGTAGTACTTTCTTCCAGAAGCCTTTGGACTCTCCCAGTCTTGTAAGGGTGAGAAGTCACCGAGGAGCATTCAATATCCTGCTACTTTTCATTCTTTTGAAAACTCTTCCCCAAACCTTCCTAACTGTTGAACACTCCAGTTAAGAAAAAAGACAAGTCACTTTATCAGCGGCCTTTAGAATATTGCTCATGAAAAGGAGCCAACAGAATTGTATGATTTATAGTTACCCAGCACTTTCAGAATACTGAAGGGCTCTCTTCATGATCTGTTCATCAAACTGGATGGCCTTCTGGTTGCCTATGTTGATAGTAGCAGTCTTAAAGGGGAACGTGTTTGGATTTGGCGATCCAGTAGCCAAGGAGATGACAGATTTCGGTGCTCTGTTCTGTAGCTCAGCTACAATAAACATGGAAGAGAAGAAAAACTTTCACGGAAAACATTCCTAGCTAAGTAGGTTGCATTACACTCAATAACACTGTCCAGTGAAACCATTTCTAGTGATAGGATGCTAATCTAGACATAGAATAACAACTGTCTGGACCTACATCACCGGTGGCAGAGCTAAGGAATGGAGGTGTCCAACTAAGAAGGCAGAGCGATCAGGATCATCTAGACAAGCAAAGAGCCCCAGTAACCGGAAACCTGCTCCATTTAGCCCCTACCTGTCTGTCTAGCTTCGTGGCTCACCCCCTTTCTCTCCAATTCACCAGGTCTTCCCCACTCTGCACGCGGCTGCACACTGTGTCTAACCCCTCCTAAGGGCCCGGGAAGAGTCTTTTTAGACAGCACACCGTCTCTATTACTCCGCCAAGTCCCACAGCAAACAACCTGTTCTCTCTGCTGCTGCTGCTGCTGCTGCTACTTATCAGCCTTCAGATCTAAACCCAGTGCATGTTTGCACACAGATCCTGACGCACAGTGAACTTCCGCGGTTGAATGAATGCAACCTAACGGTGACTGTAGGCCCCACCCACAGCGGCTCCGCGAGCCCCCGCACCTCCACCCGCACCCCGGGGGGAGGGACGCCGCCCCCGCACTCACTGTAGACGCGGATGGGAGAAGGCCGCCTGGCCGCGCTCTTCGCGGTGATGAACCGCGCGTAATTCATGGCTCCGGTCCCAAGCACCAAGCACCCTCTTCAGTAGCTGCAGACTAGAACAACCCAACAGCTGCGCCAAGGGCTGCCCCTCCAATCTGGAAAAGACGCCTGCTTGACCCCCAGGCTTAGTCCGGGTCCCGGAGCGCAGTGCTGGCTGAGCGCCTCCCAAACTCCCGGGCTGGAGGCGGCGCTGCGAGCCTGCGTTCTGCCCGGGCCTGGGGGTGGGAGGCAAGATTAGCAAAGTCCACCCGCCCGGAGATCCACTCCCTCTGGCGATCTCGCACCCCACGTGCTGCGGCCTCAGCAGAGGCCCAGGCCGCGCCCCCTCCCGCCCCGCGCCGCAGCCTATAGCGGGCGGGCCGCCACGCCCCGCCGCGCCGGGGTCACCGCCCCCGGGGCCCGGGGCCGCGGGGCGAGGGCGCGCGGCCAGGCGCCTGCACACCTGGGCCGGTGCCCGAACCGATTCAAAGCCAGTACGACTCTTGACCTTGCGCCTGGGAATTGCAGGCGATCCTGCGGCGGGGCTCCCAGGAGTGGGGCCGGAAGTCCCCCTCCTGATCCGTGAGTACCGCCTGGCGGCGGCGGCGGTCCATTGCAGGCGGCGGCTCCCGGACCGCGTTCAGCCTGGCGTTGGCTGCGCGCAGCTTTGCGCTGAGGGTCACCTGGCTGGTCTCTGGCCACGCAGGCAGTGCATTTTACCCTCAGGCCACTCTTGTGTAAAATACTGTCCTTTTAAAACAAAAACAAAAACAAAAACTTTTTTTTTCCCCCCTGGCAAAAAGAAATATGCAGGTGGCAGCTGAAGCAAGATTTAAATTGGGCAGCAAGACATTGTTCTTTTTGTCAAGTCAAAGCTCCCAGGACAAGGATTGATTTGAAAAATACTTGTTTGACATTTCCTGTGTCCAGTGCTTTCATAGGTACCGGTAAGGGCTGAGAAGAAAGGCACACGGAGCTGTGTGTATCGTGGCACAGTGGGGTAGTCCTAGGATTTGAGGGTGATAGTCCTTCAAAAAAGTGATGTTTCTACTGACATCTACAGGTTGAGTAGAAAAAGGGAAAAATAGAGTGGGTGAGAGAGCTCTTAATTAATTAGTTAATTAATTAATTTAAAAGGCTAAAATATTTATTTAAAAGTTTTAAAAAATTGTTGAGAAAGCACCTGTGCAAAGTCAATTTTAGTCACTAGGAAAAGCCACAAAAGGATCCACCACCCTGTGTGTTTTTGTAATTTTTGCTTTTGTCTATACAAGTAATAACTCCACATTGGCACCACGCGCAACTAAGGTTAAATGAGGCAAACTGCTCTGCAGTGAGTTCTTCTTCTGAGAAAGCAGTAGGTGATCATGCTGAAAGTCACATGATCAAGGCTGCATCTCCCATCATCTCTCCTGGTCTTTAAACTCTCTAAGGCAGTGGTACCCTATGTCAGGAAGGGTTAAGACCTATGGTTCTACCTGGCACCCCCAAAGCATGCATGTGTACATGTTTAGCTTGAAGATTTGGCTTGAATGATGAGGCAAGGTGGTAATGATTAATGAGCATGCTTTAAATCAGGGGTCTTCAAACTACGGCCCGCGGGCCACATGCGGCCCGCAGAGGAGTCTGATCCGGCCCGCCAGGTTTTTTGGGCAGTGAGCGCAGCCGAGGTGTTACAGTAGGAATTAGTAGTTCATATAGTCCGGCCCTCCAGCTCTCTGAGGGACCGTGATCTGGCCCCCACTTTAAAAAGTTTGAGGATGCCTGCTTTAAATGGAGAGAGTTCCTGATTTTCAAACAGATGGTGGGCCAAAGCTAGTTCTCTGGCTGCTTGAGTGAAACTTAATATTTTTATTTCCCTAGAAACAATGTAATAAACGGTGATTTAATTTTTCAAACATTATTTCTGTTAACGTTTATTCTGAGTTGAAACTTGGATTTATGGGAAAAATACATCTGATCAGGTTTGGTCTACTGTAACTTGAGGAAATCTGATTGCCTTCTGTGTCATTATTTCAAAAAGTGTTGAGTGAGCAGTTTATTCTAGGTAAATGTTAGGCACTGGGGATTACTAATAAATATGGCAGATGCAGTTCATGCTATTGTGGAATAATAAAACTAAACGCGTGTTGAGCAATCGAAGGTGAGTAAGAAGAGGCGAGAAAGCATGGCAAGTCTGAGGAGCCAAAAGAAGTCCAGTATAACTGGAGCTGAAAGAGTCAGCTGCCTCCTGCATGCCCCCCTCTGGGGATTGAGCTGCAACCTAAGCATGTGCCCTGACTGGGAATAAAACTGTGACCTCCTTGTTCATAGGTCGATGCTCAACCACTGAGCCATGTATGCCTGGCTCACCTAGCCAAAAAAATCTGAGAACTTTAAATGAGGACTTACTGTAACGATGTATTTTTGGCTTGGTTGTGTGACTTTAGCTGGTGTAAGTTAAGTTTTCTTTGAAAAATCTGGGAGCTTTCATTGAGAAGAAATATTAAATATTTGAAAATGAATATAGAAACAAGTGCTAATAAAATGATGAGAGTTGTTAAAAATGATGTTTGGTAAACACTGATTTGAAGGTTAAGAAATAAGTGGAACAACCCTGAGAGAGACACCTCTACCTAAAAAGGAGGTAATAAAATGTTCACGATAAAATGTCTCCTTTAGACCAGTTTTCCTACACTGCAAAAGGTCCAGGGAGAAAGTGGGGCATATGGGAGGCATCTGAAGTTTGGGAGACAGACTTTGGTTTAAATCTGCAACTTAGATATGTGTCTGGGTAAATGACACTCTCCAAGTTTCAGTTTCCACCCGTAGAATCTCTGTAGGATAATGTCTGCTTTGCAGGGCTGCTGTAAGGATTTGAGATAATATGATCAGGTCTTCAGTACAGTGAATAGCACATACAAGCACTCAGTATGGAATCGGCAGATATTGTTACTAATAACTATTAATAGTAGTTAAGTAATACCCTGTTTCCCCGAAAATAAGACAGTGTCTTATGTTAATTTTTGCTCCCAAAGATGCGCTAGGTCTTATTTTCAAGGGATGTCTTATTTTTCCATGGAGAAGAATATGGTACACATTTATTGTTAAATGAAAATAAAGGAAATTTATTACCTGTATACGGTACAGTAGTTCGGTAGTTGTCAACACAAACCAGACAAACTGTGAATCCTACAGTATCAAGAATTTACTCATTTATTCAATGACAATCATGTCATCATCTTCTGGAACATCATCATAACAATCCAATTCCTGAATTTCCTGGTGAATTTGTTGTGACTCCATTTTTTTCAGAATCAGTGGACCAAATCTCTCATGTTTAGCCTAGGGGGGGGCCTTATTTTTGGGGGATGCCTTATATTTCACTCAGAAGGAGACCTGTAAGTAGGTCTTATTTTCGGAGGATGTCTTATTTTCGGGGAAACACGGTATGTCTGCGTTAAGAGCCTTTTCCTTCAGAAACCTCTCTTTCTCACTGCACTCACATCAGCATTGCTGTGAGAGGCATCAACTAGCCCCAGTTTATGGGGTGGCCATGAAAGTACGGGGCTAACTTTCCCAGAAACATGTCGTCACTTACACATGGCACCTAATCCCCCCACCCCGCTCCAAAACAAGGAAAATAAGCAGGACAGAACCAGACTCATGGATACAGAGAACCTTTTGAAGGGTGCCAGATGGGAATGGGGTAGGAAGTGGGTGAAAAAGGTGAAGGGAAAGAGAAGTACAGATTGGAAATTATAAAATAGTCACGGGGATGTCAAATATAGCGTAGGGAATATAGTCAATAAGATTGTAATAACTATTATATGGTGTCAGCTAGTTTCTAGATTTATTCATTTTGTATGTTATATGAAGGTCTAATCAGGGGGTTGTACATCTGAACTTAATATAATGTGCATCAACTATAACTGAACACTAAATATAAAAAAAAAACCTGAAAAAAAATAGCGATTCTGGGTTTAATATCTTCTCAAGGTGAGCACAAGAGAGGAAATCAAAATTTACACAAATAGATTTCATCAGCCGCGTATTGTTTTTAATTAGTTTTCATAGCAGACCGGTTTGAAAAGACTACTGGGTATCGGAGGTGCCTAGTAAGAGGCAAAGCTTAGGCAGAGCAAGGGAAGGCGGTCTGGGTTCTGGTCCTGCGGGTTTCCCATCTTGCTTCCAGATGGCAAGCTGCTTTCTCTTTTGAATGGTTTTCCTATATCTAAAGAGAGTGGGTGGGCTGTGAATGCCATGGGTTAAAGACACCTCTGCTGCTTTAATCTCTAAGGCACCCATTTGTATATTTGTGCTCTGGTGCAGAGCACAGATGTGGACAGGAAGCGGCCAGACTGAGTTGCATTTACGCGTTGGAACACTAGGTGTCTCTCCGCACTTGCTTTTGCCCACAGTATTCAGCCAGGCAAGTTTAGCTTCTGCAATTCTCCCTGTACTTAAACTTTCTTCTCCGAGGTTTGTGCCAGTCTCCCGCTTACCCCTCATTCTTTCCCTTCAGCTTCCTGGTCTATTGATGGAGAGGATTCCTTGATTCCCCCCATTTCACTGCTTCCTAGCCTGACATTTTTGCTCTTCTTTTCTCAGAAGTCTCTTTTCATGTAACATGCCTTGACTTCTGTCCACAGTTCTTTTAACTCAGTAGGTCCATGGTATCTTATATAAAGTATATTGTGTCATCAATTCAGTCACAGCGCATTTACTGAGTTTGCTTTTGTGTATATCATAGGCTCATCTTTGATGCACACAAAACACAAACTCAGTAAATGTCTGAATCTTTAAATATGTGAATATACTTTTTAAAGAAATTTAACGTATTGCATTTTTTTTCAGTTACAGCTTACATTCAGTATCATTCTGTATTAGTTTCAGATGTGCAGTAAAGAGGTTATAAAATTATGTATTTTACAGAGTGATTCCCTCTGATGCTTCAAGTACTCACCTGGCCCCATACATATTTTTTTTAAAAAGATCTTTATTGTGAAAGTATTACATATGTCCCCCTTTGCCCTCCCGCCCCCCACGGACCTCCCCATACACAGTTATCTTGATATTATTGAGTATATTCCCTATGCTGTGATCTACCTCTCTGTGACTATTCTGTAACTAGCAATTTGAACTGCTTAATCTCTTCACATTTTTCACCCAGTGAAAACATGAACTTAGAAGAATCTTTGGGGAAATGGAAACTCCACAAGCCATAATAAAAAAATCTATTTACCAGAATGTGAAGGTTGGACAATTTTTTGATACAATTATGCATTCCCTACTATAGAAAAGGAGAAATATGTTCTGTGCTGCAGTACTTTGGGGAGTGGGAATATTGCATTTTATTGTGAGCAAAGAAAAGTAACCAGAATGAGGACTTTTTTGTGGGAGGGATGATGGGAGTTTGGGCAGAATGGGAAGACTCCACCGAAGGGAAGGAGGGGTAA